CCCCCCCCCCCCCAGCTGTAGCTATCCAATTGCTCTGACCTCATTTGTTGAAAAAGCTATCTTCCTCTATTGATTTGATTGCGCACATTTGTAAAGACTTTGCACCTTTAAGCATACTTTGGTTTGGTTTTGTATTTTGTTCCATTGCTTTATGTGTCAATGCCTCTTCCAACATCATGACACTTTAATTATCTTTGCTAAATGGTAATTCTTAATATCTGGTAATTTTTCACAATTTATCCTTACATGTCAAGATTATTTAGCTGTCCTAATGTCTATAATATAAATTTTAGAATAAGCTTTCTGAGCCTACAAAAAAAAAAAAAAAAACTTGCTGGGATTTTGATAAAAATCGTGTTAAGCCTATAGATGAATTTGAGGAAAATTGACATCTTTACTATGGTAAGTCTCCCGATATATGAACGTACTGTGTCTTTCCATTTGTTTAGATCTTTTTAAATTTTTTTTATCAGCATTTTGTAATTTTCAGCACAAAGATCCTGCATGTGTGTTGCTAAGTGTATAATTATTTTATTTTCTTCGGAGTGGCTGAAATTGGTATTGTTTTTAATTTTGATTTCTGCATGTTCTTTGTTAGTGTATAGAAATGTGATTAATTTTTGTTTGTTGATATTGTATCCTCTGACCTTGCTGAACTCAATCCTTTTATTTATTTATTTTTTTAGTATTGCTAATGGTTTATCAACTTTGAGTTTTTGGTCTGTTTGTTTTTTAGATTCCTTGTTATCACCTATGTAAACAATCGTCATCTGGAGATAGAAGTACTTTTTTTTTCCTTCCAATGTGTATGCCCTTTATTTCTTTTTCTTGCTTTATTTCCACAGCTAGAACTTTCAGTTACTATGTTGAGTAAGAGTGGTGAGAGTAGACATCCTTTTCTTGCTCTCACTATTAGAAGAAACCATTCAGTCTTTCACCATTAAGTGTGATTTTAGCTGTCAGTATTTTTAGATGGTCTTTATCAAGTTAAAGTCATTTCCATCTATTCTAATTTGCCGATAGTTTTTAGTATGAAGGAGTGTTGAATTTGGTCAAATGCTTCCTTTGTATTAATTCATATGATCATATGAATTTTTCGGTAAGTTACTGATATGGTGGGTTATACTGATTGATTTCTGAATATTAAACTAGCCTTGCCCTTGCATATATGGAATAAATTCCTCCTGGTCATGGTGTATTATTCTTCCTATACATTTTGGGATTTGATTTGGTAATGTTTTATTGTTGTGCCCCAGATCAGGACAGTTATTGGTCTATAGCTTTATTTGCATACTTGTTTGTTTGTTTTGTATTGTCATTGCTTCGTTTTACTATTAGGGTAGTACTAGTCTTATAGAATTAATCTGAAAGTGTTCCCTCTTCTCTTTTCTGGAAGAGCTTGTGTAATATTGATGCTAGTGCTTTAAATGGTACAGTTCACTAGTGAAATTACCTGGGCCTCGAGATTTCTCTTTCAGGATGTTTAAACTATGAATTCAATGTTTTGATGCTTATAGGGCTATTCATATTGCCTGTTTCATGTTGGTTGAGTTATTGTAATTTGTAATATTCAAGGAGTTCGTCTAATTCTAAATTGTCAAAATTATGAGTATGGAGTTGTTAGTAGTTTTTCCTCATTATATTTAAGTTGCTGCAACATCTGTAGTGATATCCCTTACTTCATTCTTGATGTTGGTAATGTGTGTATTGTGTAATGTTTGTATTTTGTTTTTTTAATTATTGTTAGTGATTTATCAACTTTATTGATTTTTTTGAAGAGTTGGCTTTTTATCACTGACTTTCCCACCATTTTGTTTTAAATTCCATAGATGGCTGCTCTTTACTATTTCTTTTTTTTTTTTTTTTTTCTTTTTCGTGACTGGTAAGGGGATCGCAACCCTTGATGTGGTGTTGCCCACACCGTGCTCAACCAGTGAGAGCACTGGCCATTCCTATATAGGATCCGAACCTGTGGTTTTTTTTTTTTTTTTGTCTTTTTCGTGACTGGTAAGGGGATCGCAACCCTTGATGTGGTGTTGCCCACACCGTGCTCAACCAGTGAGAGCACTGGCCATTCCTATATAGGATCCGAACCCGCGGCGGGAGCGTCACTGCACTCCCAGCACCTCACTCTCCCGAGTGTGCCACGGGGTCGGCCCTCTTTTCTATTTCTTTACATCAGCTTGATTTTAATTTATGTTGCTTTCTTTTTCTAGTTTCTTGAGGGTGGAAATTAGTTTGTTGATTTGAGGCATTTCCTCATTTCTAATGTAAGCACATAGTACTATAAATGACCCTCTGCACTGCATTAGCTGTGCCCCACAAATTTTTTATATTGTATTTTTCGTTTTCACTCATTTCTATGTATTTTTTAAATTTTCTTTGTGACTTTCTCTTTGACTCATTGATTAGTTAGAAGTATGTTAATTTTCACATGTTTAGGGAATTTCCTATTGTCTTTTTGGTCTGTAGTCTGATTCTAGTATGGTCAGATAAAACACTGCACATGATTTCAGATATTTTAAATGTATTCACTTTTGCTTTATGGTTCAGAATATGGTCTATCTTGGTGAGTGTTCCACGAGTGCTTGAAACAAATGTTTCCTTTTCATTTGTTAGGCAGACTATTCTATATATGTCAGTTAAATTTATTATCGTTCCATAGGCCCCTGAGGCTTTGCTCATTTTTTTTTTTTTTCCAGCTTGTATTTCTCTCCATTAAGACTGGGTAAATTCTATTGCTTTGTCTTCAATTTCACTGATTTTATCTTCTGTCTTTCCCATTCTAATATTGTGTTCATCACTGAGTTTTTAATTTTGTTTGTTGTTTTTTTCAGTTTTATCATTTCCATTTGATTATTTTTTATAGCTTGTATTTCTTTTTTGAGAGTTTTTATTTATTATTTTCAAGAAAATTTTTTGGTCAGCTTCTTTAAAATCTTTGTCAGATAATTCCAACCTCAAGTTCATTTCAAGGTTATCAGTTGATTGTCTTTTCTCATTAAAATTGTGACTTTCTTGGACCTTAGTATGATAGATGGTTTTTAATTGTATGTTGAATGTTTTTTTTTTTTTTTCTCTGTTATGTTAGAAGACTCTAGGTTATTTAAATCTTTAATTTTAAAAGAAAACTTCCTTATTCAGATTTAGCACGTTTCTTGGCCTACTTTTGTATGTTGGTAGTTGCGATTCCAGTTAAGTTTTCAATACCTTTGTGGAATTATTTTGATCCATTTGGTTTATATGTTATCACTGGTGCTCCCACTGTCTCCTGCTATGCTGCATAAAGGAGTGGAGACATTTTTTCTAAGCCTGATTGCCAAATATCTGTTAGTGGGGGAGGAATAAGGTGGAAACTGTATTCAAGGGCTGCCTGGCTGCCCAGGTCCCCTGGGCAGAGAGGGAATAATCTTGAGTTGTGGGACAATAAGTTTGTTGTTCTGGGCCGGGTTCTATATCTAGATTACACTTGCAGTTTCTGTCCCCTTTCCAGGTGTCTTTAGGTGGGGAAAGAGAGGCTTGGGCCAGGAGACACAAAGAGGATTCCCAAATGTAGCTGCTTACTGTTGCTGCTGCTTCTGCTGGTTTCACCCAACCACCTTCCTATCTTTTGACAGAAAAGGGCGATCTGAGGCCTGGTGGGGAAAGAGAGTTTTTCTTCTTGTCACTTATGATTGGTAGACCTTCCAATTGATTCCCATGGCTGGTGCTGTCAGGCTTACCTGGTTTGTTCAGAGGGGCTCCTGTTTGATTCAGAAGAAGAAAGCCTAACTGGATTGCATTTTGTTACTAGGTTCTGCGTATCCTTCCTCTGTTGGTTGGAGGATTGTTATATACCCTGCTGCTGTCATTTCTCCAGTCCTGGCATCCCAAACAAGCAAGCTCACTTTTTACTACCTCTCACCATTTTCCTTTGCTTGCCTCTTGCACCATTTCTAGGGTTTATAGTTGCATTTAGTGGGAAGTAACATGGAAAATGGGTTTATGCAATCTTATCCGAACCAGAAGTCTATATTTGTTTGTTTCTCTACATTAGATTGTGAAATTTTTGAGGTTCAGGGGAGTCTCGATTGCCTCTATCTTTTAAATGGTGTATGTTTGGTAAATATTTTGTAAATGAAGTTAACCCAACTGCATCCGGATAACCCCCTAATGGCATGAATGGAATGTGATTAGAAAAAAAAACAAAAACCAAAAAACAAAGTACTCTCTTGGAGTGAGCAGAATCGATTTTTACTTCAGATTCTTTGTAAATGGATTAGACATGTAATGCCTCTTCTATTTGTGGTATAGCTAATCCTGAGAAAGAATGAAGAAGTCAACTCATAAATAAATTACATGATGTTTTATTTCCACGTTTCTATATATCATTCTGTACTTCCAAAAGTGGTCTAGTACAAAGATGATATAATTAGGAATTTTTTATGTATTCCTAAAAACTATGTTTTTCTTGCACATTTTAAAATATCCAATAGTTTTCATCATGAGTTTGAATAGTTGCAAAGATGCGATTGCATATATACATATATAGTATGTGTTACTATTTGAAAGTAAGATAGTTACAAGCCTCTTTAAATTGTGTCCAGTAAGATGGAAATACCTAAGTGACCTGTAAACCATTGAAAATTTTACTTCATCTTTTTTCCCTCAATTTGTAGTCCCATTCTATTTTTCACCACAGCATCACATCATAGTGCATTAACATTTTTTTTTTTTTGAAGCATAATTGATGATAAATATGTTTTGGGTACAGCATTGACTACTATTAACTGCGAACAACATGCTTTGATCAAATCAATATTATTAACATATTCATTATTACAAATCATAATTACTCTTTATGCCCCTTACCCAATCTCTCCCCTCCCCCCTCCCCACTTCCCCTTCTCACCTCTAGTAAGCACAGATTTGTTCTCTCCTTCTGAAAGATCATGAGTTGTGGGCTTTCCTATCTTCCTTTTCCTTCCTTCCTTCCTTCCTTCCTTCCTTCCTTCCTTCCTTTCTTCCTTCCTTCCTTTTCTTCTTTCTTACCACCCACTTATGAGTGAGGACATGCAGTATTTCTCTTTCTATGTCTGGCTTTTTCACTTAACATGATTTTTTCCAAGCTCACCCTTGCTGCTTCACATGGTGGGATTTCACTTTTTTCTTTTTTTATGGCTGAGTAGTATTCCATGGAGTATATATACCACATTTTCCTTATCTGGTCATCTATCAGTGGACATTAAGGTAGGTTCCATATTTTGACTATTATAAATAGAGCTGCAATGAACATGGGAGTGCAGGTATCCCTTTGACATTATGATTTTCATTCCTTTGGATATATACCCAGAAGTGAGATTGCTGGATCGTATGGAAGATCTATATGTAGTTGTTTGAGAAACCTCTGGGCCGAGCCCGTGGTGCACTCGGGAGAGTGCAGCACTGGGAGCAGCAGCGCTTCCGCCGCGGGTTCGGATCCTATATAGTGATGATCGGTGTGCTCACAGCGCTCACTGGCTGAGTGCGGTGTGGCCGGTCTCAAAAAAAACCTCGGGAGAAACCTCCAAACTGTTTTCTCTAGTGGTTGTACTAATTTACAATTCCACCAACAGTGAAGGAGTGTTCCCTTCTCTCCACATCCTCACCAGCATTTGTTATTCTCTGTTTTTTTTGTTTTTTTGTTTTTTAAATTATAGCCAGTCTGACTGGGGTGAGATGATATCTTTGTCTGGTTTTAGTTTGTATTTGCCTGATGACTAGTGATGTTGAACATTTTTTCATGTACCTTTTGGCCATTTGT